AAGTGTGAAGTGGGGGGTGGAGGGGAGGGGAAGTTGAGAGTGGGGGAAGTGTGAGAGTGAGGGGAAAGTGTGAGGTGGGGGGAAGGGGGAATGTGGGGGAATTTGGAGAGTGGGGGGAATGTGTGTGGGGGGAAAGTGGAGAGTGGGGGGAAGTGTGAGGTGAGGGGAAGGTGAGAGTGAGGGGAAGTGTGAGGTGAGGGGAAGTGTGGGTGAGGGGAAGTGTGAGAGTGAGGGGAAGTGTGAATGTGAGGGGAAGTGTGAGAGTGAGGGGAAGTGTGAGAGTGAGGGGAAGTGTGAGAGTGAGGGGAAGTGTGAGAGTGAGGGGAAGTGTGAGAGTGAGGGGAAGTGTGAATGTGAGGGGAAGTGTGAGAGTGAGGGGAAGTGTGAGAGTGAGGGGAAGTGTGAGAGTGAGGGGAAGTGTTGAGAGTGAGGGGAAGTGTGAATGGAGGGGAAGTGTGGGAGTGAGGGGAAGTGTGAATGTGAGGGGAAGTGTGGAGTGAGGGGAAGTGGTGAGAGTGAGGGGAAGTGTGAGAGTGAGGGGAAGTGTGAGAGTGAGGGGAAGTGTGAGAGTGGGGGGGAAGGTGAATGTGAGGGGAAGTGTGAGGTGGGGGGAAGTGTGAGAGTGAGGGGAAAGTTTTGGAGTGAGGGGAAGTGGGAGAGTGAGGGGAAGTGTGGAGTGAGGGGAAGTGTGGGGAGTGAGGGGAAGTGTGAGAGTGGGGGGAAGTGTGAGAGTGAGGGGAAGTGTGAGAGTGAGGGAAAGTGTGAGAGTGAGGGGAAGTGTGAGAGTGAGGGGAAGTGTGAGAGTGAGGGGAAGTGTGAGAGTGAGGGGAAGTGTGAGAGTGAGGGGAAGTGTGAGAGTGAGGGGAAGAGGTAAGAATAAGTAAAGGGGTGAGACTGAGAGAGTGACAGTGGTGAGGAAAGAGTGAGGAGTGAGAGGTGAGGACTGACCTGTCTAAGACAGCCACGGTAGGGAACACGGCTGTCTGGTGGTGCCACTGCTGGTGGCACTACCTGCGAGTCTGGCACTCCTCCTGCAACACAACATAAACACAGTCATAACTATGATCATATACAACATAAGTGACTCATTGCTGACAAACACGAAGACAAAGCTACGGGGAACAAAACTTAAGAATATAGGAAAGAAGGAACACTGCAGCAGGCCTACTGGCCCATACTAGGCAAGTCTTTCTCAAACCCGAAACCACTAACAAAAATATATATGCCAGGCCCATTTTCAAAGCTGCAACATGCGTCAACGGAGACCAAGTTTCACTCAGTGTAAAGCTTTATCTAAGCATCACCTTGATAAAGCTTGACACTGAAGGACACTGTCGTGCAGACAGGTGAGTACGAGTGAGCAAAGAGCAACATACCCAGGAAGAGCTCGGTGTGGACGTCAAGGAGTGTGGTGGGTGCCAGGGAAGTGGCCCTGCTAGTGGCTCCCTTGAAGGTGAGTGCCCCGTCTCCGCCTCTCCTCCACACCTGCACCGTCTGCCACTCCTCCAGCCTGGCCACGCCCTCAGAGCGCACCACCACCAGCCCTGGTGCACGCCACCCTGTGTACACCAGCACGCTCACACACACTATGTCTCTCTCTCTTACTCAAGTGTATTATTATTAAGGGAATTTGATGTCATGTTAAGCATACAACTGAATTTTTGCCACATTACGTTGAGATTAATAATGTTTAATGGATATAAAACTGTATATACTCTTCCTTACTGTTACAAAATCAAGTTACTACTACACCACTACAAGTCACTGCTACTTTAATACAACAGACTCCTACCCCACTACAACAGACTCCTACCCCACTACAACACAGTAAGGTTTATATTAGTATTGATTGTCCTGAGTATACTGTATGCAGAGTAGTATACTGTATGCAGAGTAGTATACTGTATGCATAGTATACTGTATGCAGAGTAGTATACTGTATGCAGAGTAGTATACTGCATGCATAGTATACTGTATGCAGAGTAGTATACTGTATGCAGAGTAGTATACTGTATGCAGAGTAGTATACTGTATGCAGAGTAGTATACTGTATGCATAGTATACTGTATGCAGAGTAGTATACTGTATGCAGAGTAGTATACTGTATGCAGAGTAGTATACTGTATGCAGAGTAGTATACTGTATGCAGAGTAGTATACTGTATGCAGAGTAGTATACTGTATGCAGAGTAGTATGATTGAATGTTTTGTATGTGTAATTTTTTTAAGTGATGGAGTGTGTTGTATAGTTGTTACTTGAGTGATCATTCTTACAGCAACTTGTTGTTGGCTTGTTAGTGGCTGTAGGTGACTTGTAGGTCATAACTATGATCAAAGTAATGATTTTTGAGGCGCCTAGTAACAATAGCCAGGGCTGACCTAGATGGTAGGTAAACTGCAGGGTGCCATTGATGAGTGCCAGGGCCATGAAGTCTCCAGGGGGCCTCCTGGGAAGTGCCACCAGCAACACACCATCAAGACGTGAAGGCTTGAAAGACATGACCAACTCCGACTCTCGCCTCAGGTTGTTCACCCTGACACTCAGGTAGGAACCGTGACCCGAGAACCACGGGTCTGTGATGTTAATGGCTGTCACACAGGGAGAGGATCGTGGTTATTATAATTAAGGTGGTGGGGGAAGCAGTATAAGCGGAGAGTCATACAGCAGGCGGGGAATGGAAGTTTATATGGTTTGATCTCTGAGAAGGGAGGAGAGTTCCAGGTTTCTGGAGTAAGACCACTTAATGGCATTTCTTCAGCTTTGAAGAAATAAGTTGGGAAAAAGAGTGAAGCTGTAGTGTTCATACATTATTATTATTATTATTATTATTATTATTATTATTATTATTATTATTATTATTATTATTATTACTGAAAAAAACATCAATAACATAATAACTCTTTCTGTGCAGTGTTCTTTATAATTCTCAGTAGTGGTTATAAAACACGAGTCACCACCTTCCTCGCAGCGGGATCCCGTCCTTCCCAGCTGGCACAGACAGATGGGTCGAGGTGTGGGCGGCTCCCCACCCACACATAGCGCCCCTGGGGCACACCATCCACTGCCCCCTGGACACAGGTGACTCGCCTCCTCACACCTGGGACCCTTCCACCCAACAGGACACTCACACCTGCACGAATAATCACATAACACTGAGGAAAAGGATAATATGGTGTGCTTGTGTTTGCGTGGGGTTGGGCTGCTGCTCCTGGGCTAGTTTCTCCATCACTAATCGTTCTCTGAGACTGGGTATGTGTGAGAGAGAGAGAGAGAGAGAAATCATTTAAAGAAAATCAGAAAGTTGAAGAATGAGACACCTCAGCAATATTTGGTGATGTTTACTGAGGAAACGTGTCGCCAGCCAGCGGTTTCTTCACTCCAGGTGTTCATCTATTGGCCGGTTTCCTAAAACATTTATAATTAAAAAAAAAGTGCTGAAAATATCAAACGAAAAGAGAGAACTCGTAACAGAGGCCACAATGTGGAGTTCAGCATCAGAACAATAACAAAGGTCACACTGGACCGTCAACAAACGAGTTGGTTTGGTAATGTTTGTCAGGAAACAGGACAAGTGTCTCCTGACGCGAGTCTTAGTCACATGATGAGTCGGGGGCCAGTGGTATGCTTTGGGTCAGCTGACCGAGGCTTCCCGATGGTTTTACTAGGTCTGACCTCCTTTAAAAATTATGGTCATTGCTATAATCATTTATAACAAACGGTTGGTTATGAAAGAGCTGCTTTTCTTCTGGTTTCTTGTGTGGAGGAGAGATTACCTGATGGTGGCACCAGGGCCACGCAGGGTGCACCGTTGTCGGCAGGTGTCACGGTGGCATTTCGTCCTGGCGCACTCCTTGACATTGGCCCGCAGCCGGCGATCCTGAGGGCGTCCAGGGCCACTCTGAGGTGCTGGCAACCCTGAGGTCGAACACACAACCCTGGATGCCCTGGTGACCCGCACATGTCTGCTGGCAGGTGACTCATATTCACGTACGGGAGTGACCTACTGTTGGGACACCACTACCCTGGTCACACTACTGCATGAGTCACAGTCACACTACTGCAAAGAGTCAGTACACTACTGCATGAGTCAGTTCACACTACTGCAAGAGTCAGTCACACTACGGCAAGAGTCAGTAGTAACCAACTTACTGCAAGAGTCAGTAACACTACTGCAAGAGTCAGTCACACTACTGCAAGAGTCAGTAACACTACTGCAAGAGTCAGTAACACTACTGCAAGAGTCAGTAACACTACTGCAAGAGTCAGTCCACAACTACTGCAAGAGTCAGTTCACAATATGCAAGAGCCCCAGTCACCTACTGCAGAGTCAGTCACAATACTGCAAGCAGCCAGTCACATTACTGCAAGAGTCAGTCACCCCAACAACTACTGCAAGAGTCAGTAACCATACTGCAGCGTCAGTCACACTACGGCAAGAGCCAGTTAACCACTATGCAAGAGCCAGTCAACACTACTGCAAGTGTCCCGTCACACCTACTGCATGAGTCAGTCACACTACTGCAAGAGTCATTCACACTTACTGCAAGCGCAGTCACCACTACCTGCAAGAACCCGTCACATACTGAAGAGTCAGTCACACTATTGCAAGAGTCAGTAACACTATGCAAGAGTCAGCCCACACATATGCAAGGTATGTAACACTACTTGCACGCGTCAGTCACAACTATGCAAGAGTCAGTCACCTACTGCAAGAGCCAGTTCACACTACTGCAAGAGTCAGTCACACTACTGCAAGAGTCAGTAACACTACTGCAAGAGTCAGTCACACTACTGCAAGAGTCAGTAACACTACTGCAAGAGTCAGTCACACTACTGCAAGAGTCAGTAACACTACTGCAAGAGTCAGTAACACTACTGCAAGAGTCAGTCACACTACTGCAAGAGTCAGTCACACTACTGCAAGAGTCAGTCACACTATGCCAAGAGCCCAGTCACATATGCAAGAAAAAAAAGAGTCAGTCACCATTCTGCAAGAGCAGTCACATTATGCAGACGTCAGTCACACTACTGCAAGAGTCAGTATAACCCTACTGCAAGAGTCAGTCACATACTGCACGAGCCGTCACACTCTGCCCAAGAGGCCCAGTCACATACTGCCAAGAGGGTCAGTCACATACCTGCAAGAGTCAGTAAACATACTGCAAGAGTCAGGCACACTACTGCAAGAGCAGTCACACTACTGCAAGAACCAGTACACACTACTGCAAGAGACTGTCACACAACTGCCAAGGAGTCAGTATCCCCTAATGCAAGAGTCAGTCACACTACTGCAAGAGTCAGTACACACTACTGATGACTCCAGTCACTTTACTTGCAGAGTCAGTAAACACTACTGCACGACGTCCAGTACAACTGCAAGAGCCAGTCACCTACTGCCATGAAACCCCAGTCACACTACTGCAAGAGCAGTACATACTGCAAATGCGTCAGTCCACACTAACTGCAAGGTCCCGTCACATACTGCAAGAGTCAGTCACCACTACTTGCATAAGAGTCCCGTAACAACTCCTGCAAGAAGTCTCAGTCACACTACTGCCAAGAGTCTGTCACATACTGCAAAGAATCAGTCCCACACTACTGCACGACGTCAGTAAACCACTACTGCAATAGTCAGTCCACACACTGCAAGAGTCCAGTCACCACTACTGCAAGAGTCCCAGTCACATACTGCATGAGTCAGTCAAAAAACACTACTGCCAAGAGTCAGTCACCATTCTGCACGAGTCAGTCCACTACTGCAAGAGTCAGTAACACTACTGCAAGAGTCAGTAACACTACTGCAAGAGTCAGTCACACTACTGCAAGAGTCAGTAACACTACTGCAAGAGTCAGTAACACTACTGCAAGAGTCAGTAACACTACTGCAAGAGTCGTCCATAGCTGGCAAGAGCCAGTCCACACCTACTGCAAGAGCCTGTACCACTACTGCAAGAGTCAGTCACACTACTGCAAGAGCCAGTCACACTACTGCAAGAGTCAGTCACACTACTGCAAGAGTCAGTCACACTACTGCAAGAGTTTCAAGTTCAACTCTACTGCAAGGAGCAGTCACACTACTGCCAAGCCTAGCCAGTCACACTACTGCCATGAGTCAGTCACATACTGCTAAGAGTCAGTTACACTACTGCAAGGAGTCATCACACTACTGCATGAGCAGGTCACATCTACTGCAAAGACCAGTTCCACATACTGCAAGGAGACAGTCACATCTGCAAGAGTCAGTACACTACTGGCATAGAGTGCAGTCACACTACTGGCAAGAGTCAGTAAAACACTATGCAAGAGTCAGTCACACTATGCAAGAGTCAGTTATCACTACTGCAAGAGGTCAGTCACATTTTAACGCAAAGAAGCCCGTCACACTACCTGCAAGAACCAGTCACACAACTGCTACGAGCCAGTAACACTATGCAAGGTTCAGTCACACAACTGCAAGAGTCCGTCACAACTACTGCAAGAGTCAGTCATCACTACTGCATAAGAGTCCGTAACATCTGCCCAGAGTCAGTCACACTATGCAAGAGGTCAGTCACACTACTGCGAAGAATCAGCACACTACTGCAAGAAGTCAGTACAACTACTGCAATGAGCAATCACATACTGCAAGAGTCCAGTAACACTATGCACGAGGTCAGTCACACTACTGCAAGGTCAGACACACTACTGCAGATTCAGTCACACACTTGCAAGAGTCAGTCACACTACCTGCAAGAGGTCGTCACATTCCGCCAAGAGGTCAGTCCACTACTGCAACGAAGAATCAGTCCACTATGCAACGAGTCAGTCACACTCTGCAAGAGTCAGTACACACTACGCAAGAGTCCAGTCAACGATTTGCAAGGAGTCAGTAACCACTACTGCAAGCGTCAGTACACTACTGCAAGAGTCCGTAACACCTACGGCAAGAAGTCAGTACTAACTACTGCAAGAGTCAGTCTCATACTGCACGGTCCAGTAACACTATGCAAGAGTCCGTTAACACTACTGGCAAGAGTCCCCCAGTAAACACTATGCAAGAGTCAGTAACACTACTTCACGATGTCAGTTTTCACACTATCTCAAGCGTCGTAACACTACTGCAAGATGTCAAGTAACATCTACAGCAAGAGTCAGTCACATACGGCACAAGAGTCAGTAACACACTTCAAGAGTCCGTAACACTACTGCAAGAGTCAGTCACACTACTGCAAGAGTCAGTCACACTACTGCAAGAGTCAGTCACACTACTGCAAGAGTCAGTCACACTACTGCAAGAGCCAGTCACACCTATGCAAGAGCAGTCACAACTACTGCAAGGTCAGTCCACTACTGCAAGAGTCCCAGAAAACTACTGCAAGAGCCCCCAGTCTCACTATGCAAGAGCCGTCACACTACTTGCACGAACAGTCACACTACTGCCCGGCGTCCGTCACACTACCTGCAAGAGTCAGTCACACTACCTGCACGAGGTCAGTCCCACAACTACTGCAAGAGTCCCCCCCAGGTCACACTACTGCCAAGAGTTCCAGTCACACAATACTGAAGAGTTCAGTACACGACTGCAAGAGAGTCCCAGTCACATTACTGCAAGAGCCCAGTCACACTACTTGCAAGAACCCGTCACACTACTGCAAGAGCCCGTCAACTTACTGCAAGAGTCGTCACACTACTGCAAGAGTCAGTCACACTACTGCAAGAGTCAGTCACACTACTGCAAGAGTCAGTAACACTACTGCAAGAGTCAGTCACACTACTGCAAGAGTCAGTCACACTACTGCAAGAATCAGTCACACTACTGCAAGAGTCAGTCACACTACTGCAAGAGTCAGTCACACTACTGCAAGAGTCAGTAACACTACTGCAAGAGTCAGTCACACTACTGCAGTGTCAGTCACATCTACTGCAAGAATCCCAGACACATACTGCAAGAGTCAGTCACACTACTGCAAGGTCAGTCACACTACTGCAAGAGTTCTAGTCACACTATCTGCTAGAAACAGTACACACTACTGCAAGAGTCGTCCCACGACCTGCACAGAGTCCAGTATACACTACTGCAAGATGTCTGTCACACGATTGCAAAGAGTCAGTAACACTACTGCAAGATGCCAGTTACATACTGCAAGAGTCCGTACACTACTGCAAGAGTCAGTAAACAACTACTGCAAGAGTCGACACACTACTGCAGAGTCAGTCCACACTACTGCCAAGAGTCAGTAACACTACTGCAAGAGTCGTTAACACTACTGAAAGAGTCAGTAACACTACTGCAAGAGTCCAGTAATAACACTACTGCAAGAGTCAGGACACACTATGCAAGAGTCAGTAACCTTACTGGCAAGAGTCAGTAAACACTAGAAAAAAGAGTCAGTCACACTACCTGCACGAGTCAGTAACTCTACTGCAAGAGTCAGTAACATACTGCAAGAGGTAATCATCCACTACTGAGAGTCTGTCACAATACTGCAAGCGTCAGTCCACCCCCCCACTACTGCAAGAGTCAGTCACACTACTGCAAGAGTCAGTCACATACTGCAAGATTCAGTTCCTCACAACTGCTCAAGAGTCAAGTAACACTACTGCAAGTCAGTAAACACTCCTGCAAGAGTCCAGTAAACACTATGCAGAGTCAGTCACACTACTGCAAGAGTCAGTACACTCCTGCACGAGTCAGTAAACACTACGGCAAGAGTCAGGCACCACTACTGCAAGCGTCCCAGTAACACTATAGCATAGAGTCAGTCAACCACTACTGCAAGAGTCAGTAACATAACTGCAAGACTGTAGTAACAACTACTGCAGAGTCAGTAACACTATGCAAGAGTCAGTAAACACTACTGCAAGAAGTCAGTCACACTACTGCAAGGAGTCAGTCTCACTACTGCAAAGAGTGTTCCCGACTACGCAAGAGTGAGTCACACTTACTGAAAGAGTCAGTCAACTACTGCAAGAGTCGTCCACTACTGCAAGAGTTCAGTCAC